ATTTTAGGACTGTTTTCTCAAGATCTGTGAGGTATGTTAATGGTATTTTGACTGGGATTACATTAAATCTGTGTAACAGTTTTATGAGTATGGCCATTTTCACAACGTTGGTTTTTCCTAACCAAGAGTAAGGAATATCCTTCCATTTTCTATTATCCTCTTCAATCCCTTTTTTTAGACATATAATTTTCGGCATATAGGTCTTTTACATTCTTGATTAGGTTGATTCCTAAGTATTTTATTTTTTTAGATGCTATTGTGAAAGGTGATGTTGCCATACTTTCTCAGTGAGTTTTTTTGTGTACAGAAATACTATTGATTTTTGAATGCTGACTTGGCATCCAGTTACACTGTGAATTTGTTTATTACTTCTAGTAGTCTTTTAATGGAGCTTTTTGGGTCTTCTACATAGAGTATCATGTCATCTGCAAATACTGATAATTTAACTTCTTCCTTTCCTATCTTTATCTTTATTCCTTTTATTTCTCTCTCTTGTCTGATTGCTCTGGCTAATATTTCCAGAACTATATTGAACAGGAGTGGTGATAGTGGATATCCTTGTCTTGTTCCTGATTTTAGAGTGAAGCTTTCAGTTTTTGTCCTTCATTTAGTATAATGTTGGCTGTTGGTTTGTCATAGATGGCCTTTATGACATTGAAATAGATACCATCGATTCTGAGTTTCTGTGGGGTTGTTATCATGAACAAGTATTAGACTCTATCAAAAGCTTTTTCTGTGTCTATTGAGATGATCATGTGGTTTTTATTTTTGGCTCTATTGATGTGGTGTATTACATTTATTGATTTGCATATGTTAAAACATCCCTGCATTCCTGGAATAAATCCCACTTGGTTGTGATGTGTAATCTTCCTGATGATTTGCTGCATTCTGTTTTATTGAGAATCTGCATCAATGTTCATTAGTGAGATTGGCCTATTGTTCTAAATTTCTTGTAGAATTCAGCTGTGAATCCATCAGGACCTGGGCTTTTCTTTGTTGTTAAGTTTTTAATCATGGGGGCTGGAGATTTAGCTCAGCGGCATAAGTGCCTTGCCTTGTAAGCAGGCAGTTCATGAGTTTGATCCCGGGTACCGATAAAAAAAAGAAAAAGACAAAAAAAAAAAAGTTTTTAATCATGTTTTCAATTTCAGTAGCTGATACTACATTATTCAAAAATTATTATATCTTCTTGATTGAGCTTTGGTAGTTCATATGTTTCCAGAAATCTATCCATTTCCTCTGTGCTTTCCACACTTTGTGAGTAGAGATTTTCAAAGTAGGTATTCATGATCATTTGAATTTCCATGGGATCTGTAGTAATTTCTCTTTTTCGGTCCTTATTGTGTGAATTTGAGTTTTTTCTTTCTTTTTCTTGATAAGGTTGGCTAGAAGTTTGTCAATTTTGTTTGTTCTCTCAAAAAACTAGCTCCTGGATTCATTGATTCTTTGTATTGATTTCTTTAGTCTCAATTGCATTAATTTCTGCTCTGATCTTTACAATTTCCTCTCTTCTGTGGGCTTTGACTTGCTCTTCTTTTTCTAGAAGCTTGAAATGTAGTATTAGGTTGTTTATTTGTGCTCGTGCCGTTTTCTTGCTATAACAATTTATTACTATGTATTTCCCTCTTAAGACTGCTTTCATTGCATCCCACAGGTTTCAGTATATTTATTGTCTCTGCATTTTCATTGAATTGTAGGTATTGCTTAATTTCTTCTTTAATTTTACCTGTAACCCACTGATTGTTCAGAAGGTTATTTAATTTCCAAGTATTTATACAGGTTTTGCAATTTATTTTGCCATTAATTTCCAATTTCAGTGCACTATGATCAGATAAAATGCATGAAATAATTTCAATCCCTTTGCATTTACTTAATGTTTTATGGGCTAATATATGGTCTGTTTTGGAGAATGTCCCATGCACAACTGAGAAGAATATATATTCTGATGTGGTTGGATGGAATACTCTGTAAACATCTACTAAGTCCATATACGCACAGATTTGATTCAGTTCTGTTATTTCTTTGCTTTTTTCTAGTTGATCTCTCTCTTTGTGACAGTGGGGTATTAAAGTCTTCTATTACAATTGTGTTCTTGTGTGTGTTTTTCATATCCATTAGTATTTGTCTTATATAGTTGGGTGCTCCTGTATTTTGTGCATATATATTTTTAATTGTTAGTTCTTCCTCTTGAATTTTTCCACTAACAAGTATGTAGTGGCCTTATTTATCTCTTTTAGCTTTGAAGTTCACATTGTCTGAAAACAGAAAGCTATCCTTTTTTCTGGGTTCCTGTCACATGGGATACTGTTTTCTATCTTAGGATTTTTAATCTATGAGTTTCCTTTTGAGTCAGATGTGTTTCTGTTTCTTGATCCATTCTGTTAATGTATTTCTTTTAATAGGTGAATTGAGGCCATTTACATTGATGGATATAACTGATGTGTACTGGCTCAACTTTGTCATGTTAAGTTCCTGCTGTTGATTTTCTACTTTTCCCTCTTGTTTAATTGTTTTCCCTGCCTGGTGGTTTATTTCTGTTGTTGTTTTGGAAAGTGGTCATTTTTCTCTATCTAGTATGTCTTTCAGTACTCTTTCTAGGGTTAATTTGGTGGGCATGAATTTCTTCAGTTTTTTGTCATGAAAGTATCTTGTTTCGCCATTAAATAGGTAAGTTTTTCTGGGTGCATCAGTCTGGGTTGAAAGTTATTTTCTTTCAGGGCTTGAAATACTTCACTCCAAGATCATTTTAACTTGAGGGTTTGCATGCACACCATTTCTTAAAGGCTCGAAAAAGCCCTTAGGATATTCAGAGTTCAACTATAGTGTTCTGGGTACAAACAAAGCTCACTCAATTTCATTATGGTAAAAAAACCCAAATCCACAAGACCTTCATGTTGCATCTTGATTACAGATGGACTTTTTACTTTTAATTTAATTTTTATTTTTATTAGCATGTTTGCCATACATAATGGTTACATTCATTGAGAAGGGTTGGTACTTTTTTCTTTCCTTTTATTTTTATTTTATTTTATTTATTTTTGTCTTTTTTGAAACAGGGCTTTTCTGTGCAGTTCAATCTAACCTTGTTCTCACTATGTAGCCCAGACTGACTTTGAACTTAAAGCGATCCTCCCACTTCAGTCTCCTGAGTGCTAGGATTACAGGTGTGAACCACTATGCCTGGCCAGGAGTTAGTACATTTACATAACACATTGTAATTCCTTTCACATACCTTCTTCTCTCCTTCCATCTCTTTGTCAGAAGCTGGGCTTCAGGATCATAACCATAGAACCAAGTTTAATCTCCCATGACATAATTTCTTAAAAAGCTGGACTGTAGCTGAACATAGTGGTGCACACCTGTAAACCCAGCATTTGGGAGGCTGGGGCAAGAAGATCATTGCAAGTTTGAGCCCAGTCTGACATCATCATCATGCAACTCCAAAGACACTGACAAAATTTCAGTGTTAATCCATTCTTAATAGTCTGTAATTTATGCTACACTTTTAAATATATGTTTTTTGGCGAGGCATGGTGTTATATGCCTATAATCCCACACTTGGGAGGTTGAGGCAGAAGGATTGCCTTGAATTCAAGGCCAGCCTAGGCTACCTAGTTAGTTCGAGGCCAGCCTAGACTACATAATAAGCCCCTATCTCAATGAATAAATGAAGCTTCATGTTCTGTCAATTATACCTCACAACTCTGTGAGTGCACTGAACAAGCTGGACTTGTCACATGCTGTTACTGAGGTTTGATGTGGTGCTTCTCGTGTTGAAGTTCCTTGTGTTTCCATTGGATGGTACTTGTCAGCAGCATTCACCTTATTTTTTAATCATACTCCATATATTCCAATACAGTGGTTATGACTTTAATTTTTGTTCTAGTTAGAGCTATATGACAGCCTTAAAGTGTGCGTGTGTGTACCTGCATGCACGCATGCAAGCGTGAAACTGGAGCCTTTAAAAATAATGGTAAAAAAATATTTTAACCAGAAAAGATCATGGCTTTTTTCTGTCTGGTTAAGAAAGGAATGAAAGGCTAATTACAGAAACCACAGATGCTGCAAAGTAACAGCAGACATACAAGGTGAACAAGGTCAGGCTTGAAACCACTGAGACATTTACTTCATTCCTTTACTTAAACATATTATTGACATTTTCTGTAGCCATGTTTTATAAGTACAGAAATTTGTAATTAAGAGGTTAAATTACATAGCTTTGTAAACTGGAGACAGTAGGAGAAATAGAAGAAGCAAGGTACTGACTTTCTTGTAGATACCAGTGCCAGTATTTATGATGATTTTATACAAGGGTGGCCCCAAGAGTCAGACAGGCCATAGATCAAGGCAACCTAGCTCATGGTACACATGTATGTCTCAGTAAATTTACCCCACCAAGTCTTCACATCCTACTTGATTGTGGATGAAGTCATATCCACAAGATCATGGAGAAGACTGAAATAATCAGTGGAGTTTCTCATGTTGTGTGTCTATCCATTGTAGTAATGAATATTCAACTCAGCTCTCAGACCAAGGGCAAATCCCTTCATGACAGGGGCCGGGGATGTAGCTTAGTGGTACAGTGCCTGCCTGGCAAGTGGCAGGTTATGAGTTCAGTTCCCAGTACCAAAAAAATAAAAATAAAAAAATCGCTTCATGGCTGAGTCTTGGCTTCTGTATTTATAAAACTAGAACTATCCTTCCTCCCCACCCACCCATGGTATTGTTTTATTGAATGAGAATTTGTCTCAAAGGAACTTTTATATGGGAATGATTTACAGGTGGTCTGGGAAGGTATGACATAGAAAACATGACAGAAACATGAGGTCAGGCATTGGCCTGCAAGGACTGTGGGCTCCAGAGAAAGGCAGTTGACATTTGGAAAAAGGAAAGACAGTATGGCCTGCTATTAGGGGCATCCTTATAGATGGGGGATGGGCAACATGAGTCTCCTTACACTGCCAGCTGCCTTCTGCCATGTGTCTCTTCTGTCATTGCAGGCTGAGCTCATAGAGAGCCTCACCCACAAGCTGGAGACCCTCCAGGAGGCGAAGGGGAGTCTGCTCATGGACATCAAGCTTAACAACGCCCTGGGAGAGGAAGTGGAGGCTCTGATCAGTGAGCTGTGCAAGCCCAATGAGTTTGATAAGTACAGGATGTTCATAGGTGACCTGGACAAGGTGGTGAACCTTCTGCTGTCCCTCTCGGGGCGCTTGGCCCGTGTGGAGAATGTTCTCAGCGGCCTTGGTGAAGACGCTAGTGATGAAGAAAGGGTATGTGGCCTAAACCCAGTTCAGCGAGTTCTCTCTCTGAGCTCACATACAGAAGAGAAGGGCCATTAGACGTGATCCCTTCACTCAGAGTTATAAGCACTTTGGAGCTGGGGGAGAATAGATAAGACAGAGAAGGCGGCATCTTCCATGCCAACATGTGATGCCTGCACTTACGGCTCAGAGTACTTGGGGATATAAAGGCAGGTGCCAGAGTCACTTTCCTCCTATTCTTCCTTCCTTTCTCAAACGTGGTAAGTGTTGACATTTAGAAAAAGAGGAGGGGCTGGGGATTTAGCTCAGCGGCATAAGCACCTGCCTTGCAAGCAGGCAGTCGTGAGTTTGATCCCCAGTACCGACAGAAAAGAAAAAGACAAAAAAAAAGAAAAAAAGAGGAGACAAAACAAAAATATTGAGGGTTAGGAAGGGATAGGAACATGAGCTCCAAGCTCCAGGGAATCTGCTGAAAGGGTCCTGGGAACTGGGAGGGTACACTAGGGACCTCTAGACACCCCTGTCTCTTCAGATTAGATCAGGTCCATCAAGTGCTCTGTGTCAGACACAGGGCTTTTACACTTCCTGTGTGATCTCACTGACTCCTTACCACATCAGTGAGTTTTTATCAGGATTGGTCTAATGGGAGTAAGAAAGAGAAGAATCTATCATCCAGTAAATACCTAATTCAAGATAATCATTTATGGTTGGGCAATAATAGTAGAAATTCAGCTGAATCTCTGATTTAAACATTTTTTAACCTGAAACAAGTGTGAAATACCTTTATGTCAAGGTTTGGCACCATTAATGGTGGATGCACATAACTGAGGGCATTCTCTGTACATTTGAGATGCTCAAAATGTCTTAAGTTTTTTCAAAGTGCTTAAGAGTTGTCTGTACTGTATTTTGAAAGGACGCTTCATTCAAATGCAATGCCTCTAAGCTGTTTCAGGTCTTTTTGATTAGGGGAAAGAATCCTCTGCAGATAAGATAGACCAGTTGTGTACTTTCCCTGAGGCAGTATTACATAAAACTGGTTAGTTTAGAGGGATTTAGTCCGAAAGTGCACGAGCTTTTGATAATCCCGTGTATTGTACTGAAGAATATTTAAGGGATCTTATTTTGTTATTTCTATCTTAATTTTTCCCTATCACTTTGGCCTGAAAAATGAGAAAAGTTGAATATTATATTTTTTAAAATTTCAAAATGACATTCAGCATGTTAGATTAAAAACCATGTTAAGGATTTTTAAGTAAATTAGCTTAAGGTATGCTTGCTAACCATTGGCTTAAGTAGAAAATTTAGAATGTGAAATCAGGATTAAGAACAACTGAACAAGAGCCCTGAGAAAGTTTTGATCCAGAGCCCTGAAAAAGAAACTTGGACAAATGAAAACAGATTTCTTTAGAAATCAGAAATATGATATTCCCAATGTTAATGCTTAGGGAGATCTTCAGCTTTAAAGTCCTGTTAAGAGATAGCTGTGTCCTGCTTCTGAAGTTTTTGATTCAGTAGGTGAAACAGAGGCTAAAATTCTGCGTTTCTAGTAAGTTTAGATTTTCTAATAGCCACTATTATATTACTCAAGGTTTCTGGATTATTTTTTTTAGTATAAACCCTGGAAGTCAAGTCATTAGCCCAGCCATTTAATGTAACCACTCAACTTGAAGCTACCAAATGACTTTACAGGGAAAAAGTTATATAAAATTATAACTTGAGAGAATTAAGTTTCACAGTGTCAGTCTCCTTATTGGCAACTAAAGTAGAAACTGAGCCACAACTGAAATAGAAATGTGGCTATTTCATAGTCTGTGCAAGGCTGCCATTCAGACAGCAGGCTCTGCTGTCCATTGTCTGTCGCTGACCTGTCTGTCCACTTTGCCCTGACAGAGCTCACTGACTGAGAAGAGGAAGATCCTGGCTGGGCAGCACGAGGATGCCCGCGAGCTGAAGGAGAACCTGGATCGGAGGGAGCGGGTGGTTCTTGACATCCTGGCCAATTACCTCTCCGAGGAACAACTCCAGGATTACCAGCATTTCGTGAAAATGAAGTCAACACTCCTCATCGAGCAGCGAAAGCTGGATGACAAGATCAGGCTGGGCCAGGAGCAGGTCAAATGTCTGCTGGAGAGCCTTCCCGCCAACTTCACTCCCAAGATCGGGGCCCTCACAGTGCCCCACGACATCCCCAATCAGACGACACCTGTTGGCAGAAGTACATTCAGTGGTGTGTTTTCAACACTAACCTCTCCACTTTAACCTCTTCTAAAAATATCCAACCAAAAGATCACCACTTCTCTCAACACTATTTAACCTGAAAAAATATTTCACTACAAACCACCATTCAAACCATGTGGGTTGTGGGATTTTCCTGGATAAAAGGAAAAACAGTACTGTCAGGAAGAAGACTGCTTTTCCTTCTTGCCCTTCATGATTGACCAGAAAGCTTAAGTGCTGCTAGAAACTTACCCCTTTCTATCATTTGCAGTAGAGAGTTAACAACACTGTGAGAACAGTGGAGTTTACATGTTAGCAGGCAGAAGCAGCATGGGTCAGTGTGCGTCACCCTCAGGTATGCATCCACAGTGGCCTTCAGTGCTGGTAGGCAGTGGGTCCTGACAGTAGGATATAAGAACTATTAATGAAGGGTCTGCAACCTAAAGCCTTAAAAAGACAACACACCGAGAAGAGAATTGTAAAACCTTGAACATTGTTGTTATTTATATTTTTAAAAATGAAAAAGATCATTATGTTTGTGTGCTAACCACTTACTTGATTTTGTTTTATGGTGGGCGTAGACTGTTATGTTTGAGCTTTGTATTTTGTGAAAACCTTAATGAAGAATTCCAAAGATAGTCACACTGACTGTGGAGACTTGTTTTTTCTTATACTGGGGTCTGGGCAGATATTCTGTGTCAGAGTTAAGCTGAAGATGATGGGGCCTCTTCATATGTGCCTGCCCTGGGAAGAGGCAGCAGTGTGGCCTTGCCGCAGCTTTACCACTTGGGCACAGCTCTCACACCAGGAGCAAGTCCAGAGTCCAGACCATCCCATAAACAATTTGAATTAAATACAACCTACTAACATGAAATAGGCTTCTTTAATAAAACTTTTTTTTTTTTTTGTCTTTTTGAGACAGGGTCTCACTTTGCAATTCAGGCTGGCCTTGAACTCACTTTGTAGCCCAGGCTGGTCTTGAACCCACAACAATCATCCTGCCTCAGCCTCCCAAATAAAAATTTATAAAAATTTTCCTAAACTGTCAAACCTACCCATTATACTTTCATTAAAAACTCCCTCCCTAACCCCTAAAACCAATTTTACAAGATCATGTTTCAGTAACAACACCTCTGAGGGGATTCTATACCCCATGGTGTGAGCCTGTTAAGCTGGATGCTTACTGTTTTGGGCACTTTTTTCATGACTGGGAAATAATACCTGACTCCCACAACTTAGAGGAGAAAAGGTTCACTTTGGGTCAGTTACAATTGTGTTTCCTGGCTCCCAGGCAGAAACAGCATGGTGGATGGGTTTAGTGGAAGAAAGCTGCTCACATCATGGTGCCCAGGAGGCAGAGAGAGAAGATAGGGCCTGGGGAGGAAAGTATCTATCTCTCTAAACAATGCCCCAGTACCACCTCCTGATAGCAGGTCAGTGGTATCACCCCCATGATGAAATCGCCTCCCGAAAGCCCCACCTCTAGCATGTGAGGAACACTGTTGACCTAAACTATAACATTCTTGTCTCAGTCCCCAAAACACTTGTGTGCATCTCTTTATGCAAAATGCATGTAGTCCTTCTCCAGCCAGGCATAGTGGTTCACACTTATAATTCCAATATTTGGGAGGCTGGACCAGGAGGATCATCATGAGTTTGAGATTAACCTGGGCCACACAGTTTAAGGCCAGCCTGGACTACATAGTGAGACCCTGTCTCAAAAGAAACTATATATACATATATATATAATTTTCCAAGTATAGTGGGACATCTGTTATTGTAGCACTTGGGAGGGTGAGGCAGGAGGATTGCTGTGACTTCCAGACCAGGCTGGACTATATAGCAAGACCTTGTCTCAAAAAATAATAATTACCAGAATTTTAATCATTCCAGCATTGCTGAAAAGTTCAGGCCCAACGTCTCATACTCCAGGCAAACTCTTACTATAAAAATAAAGTTAAACACTGCTGACATAACAATGGAATTCTAACAATGGCATCCCATTCTAAAAGGGAGAAATACAGAAATAGAAAAGAATAGAACCAGAACAAGGCAAACCCATACTAGGCATGGTGGTACATATCTGTAATCCTACCTCTCAGGAGTTGAGCGACTCACCAGAAGTTTAAGGCAAGCCTGGTGTACACAGTAAGTTCAAGACCACCTTGAATGACATGATAAGACCCTGTCTTAAAAAAAAAAAAAAAAGACTGAAACTCAGCAGGACAAATGCAGGCAAGTTAAGGCAAAGAGCTTGGACAGCCCCATCCCTGTGGCATTGCCCATGTCCACTCACTACTTAGAGCTTTCCTCAGCAGATATTTCACATTCCAGGCATCTCTGACCTGGGGTCTCCTCTGCACTTTTGGCTTCACTCTCACAGCTTCACTTACTGCTCTCTCAGGGGAACCTGGTCTGGCCGCCTTAGACCTTCCTTTGAAATCTGAATGGAAACCTTCCTGACCCCACAATTCTTGCATTCTGTACCCTGATAAAAACCACGTGGATGACACCGGTGTCTGCCACTCAAGCAATAATCAGGACCCCTTGGATGATAGCTGCAGGGGCCTCACAAGTAACTAAATAACTGAACTCAGAATCAAATCCCAGGGAACCAATTCCCTAGGTGGCCTTTTTCCAACAGAGTGCCCAGAGCTATCTTCTCAAAGCAAAATCTTTAACTTTTGCATCCTGTAACCTGTAAAGTGGGGTTGGGAGCTTGCCTTAAGAAATCTTTGCCCTGATACAAAATATTTTGGCTTTTTATTTTTATTTTTTAAAATTTTATTTAAGGAGAGAAAGAAAAAAAAAGGATACAAGTAATACAGAATTTCAAAAAAAAAAAAACAGGAAGTCACTAATAGATTACATATTATAATCTTAGAAATAGTTGTTCACGTTACAAAATTTAGCATATAAAGTGGACATTCAAACAGTGAGAATGCAAACAGTTCTGTTCAATGATCCAACAAAAACTCAGTAATATGGTTATCTTATATGCTTAAATATACATGCTGTTATATCCTTTAGAGCACTTTCTTTTCCTCTTTTTTATGACGATTACACATTTTGGGTTTTATTACTCCCACAGTTCTTATTACTTTTTTTTTAAAAGCGAATAAAACCAATTGACATAACAAAACAGAGTCAAATCAAAAGATGGGGATATACATGATGTAAAAACAGAATACAAGGTGATCAACAATGGTTACCATAATGCCTCTTGCTGTCTTAAAAAGAATTGCCTATATCATCAGTTATAATAAAATTGAACAGAACAGTACAGAACAAAACCAGTAAAACCAAAACATCGGAGACATTACAGGATTTCAAAAGAAGATAATAGTCAAACCAGAATGGGTGTCATAGTGAATCTTACTATCTCCTTGTCTAAAAAGTTTTTGTTTATATTATCACATATAATAAAATCCAGTAAGATACAACATGTTAAGACCTATGGAGACAGAAGAACAAAATCTTGATGGGACTTCAAAACAAGGTGATACTAAATCAGCACTAGCTATTATGATACCTTGTTTTCTCCAAAATAGCTGTTCATACCATCACAGACAATAAAATCAAATAGCATGGAATAAAACCATTACAATTAATGAATGAAAACATTATAAGGTTTCAAAGCAATATAATGGGGAATCATGATTACCACATACTTTTAAGTATTGTTATCATTTCTTACACTAGGGAAACTATTCTATATTTATTCATGTTGGTTTGATTTGTTTCACTTATGAGTATGGTCTCAAGCTGCACCCATTTATTTATAAATATCTCAATGTTATCATTCTTTATAGCTGAGTAGTACTCCATTGTATAAAAATACCACAACTTTTTTATCCATTCCTTAGTTGCTGGATACTTAGATTGTTTCCAAGATCTGGCTATTACAAATTGTGCTGCTATAAACATGGAGGTACATATATCTCTGTGGGAAGATGCTTTCAGTTCTTCTGGGAATATGCCTAGAAATGGAATAGCTGGAACAAATGGGACATCCAATCCCAGCTTTTTGAGAAATCTCCAGACTGACTTCCACAATGGTTGCACCAGTCTACATTCCCACCAACAGTGCAGGGGAGTTCCTTTTTCCCCACAGCCTCTCCAGCATTTGTTGTTGGTGGTTTTCTTGATCCTGGCCATTGTTTCATGAGTGAAATGGAATTTCAGTGTGGTTTTAATTTGCATTTCTCTAATGAGTAATGATGATGAATGACTTTATTTTTAGCACCCAAGCATTCCTGTGCTCCAACTTTGCAGACCTTCCTTTTTGGGGAAACTGAAAACTTCAAATACCTTTTGGCTCCTGGTTTTTAGTTTAAACCTGGCTGAAAGCTACCAGCAGTGCCCATGCCACAGCCTCAGCATTGAGCTGCCTTGAAATCTCTTCAGCCAAATCAATTAGTTTGCTGCCCTTAATCTTAGTCTTTCAAGTCTCAGGACATAAGCAAAATGTAGACAAATTTTTTGTCAGAGTACAATACACATACCTTCTAGTGCAACTGGCAATGGAGCCCTTGTTCCCAATAGAAACCTGAGCCTGATTTTCACTATCTGTATTTCTGTGACATTCTAGTCCTCTGAGCTTTGATCAGAATCTGTAGCATGACTGACAGCTTTATAGATAGGGCTTCTGTAGCTGTCATCTGCAAACCTTTCCAAACTCCTCCAGTGAATGACTTCCAAAGGCTTATGGAAGCATAACCATGGTGGCATATGCCTGTAATCCTAGCATTTAGGAGGCTGAAGCAGGAAGATTGCCTTAAGTTTGGTGCCAGTCCAGGATACATAGTGAGCTCAAGGCTAGCAGGAACTACACATGAACCCATGCCACAAACAAAAGCAAAACAAAGACTTGTAAATGACATGACTATGTAACCACAGCAATGACCCTGCCCTCTATACCAAAATCTTTTTGGCATTTTGTTTTACACTAGGACAAAATACTTGATACCAACAACATAAAGGAGAAGAAATTTACATTGGTTCATAGTTATAAACCAAATTCAGCTGACTCTCAAACAGAAACTGCATGATGGGGAAGTTCCAGCTGCTCACATCATGGTGGCTAGGAAGCAGAGAAGAAAGGAGCTGCAAGAAGAAGCAACCTTCAGGACACCCCAAGTGACCTGCCTCCTCCCACCAGACTTGCCCTCCCATCCAAGAACAAGTCAGGCAGTGTCCCCATGATTAAATCACTTACTAGAAGTTCTGCCTCTGGGTGTGTAAATGTTTTATGAGTTTTTAGGGTCTACGTTATACGGTTTGGTTAGTGGTCTAGCTGGGGTTAGCTCCTGGAAATGACAAGACCTGCCTTTGAGCAGGTCTCATATCATGCTGAGTTTAATTTGCTCATTTGTGTTTGACCCATTGCTGGTGACTACCTGTGTTAACTTGGACAGCCAGAGAAAAATCCAGTGTAAACTTGGTAGGTAATAAGATTAACAGGTATATCAAATGTCCCTTTTTTCCTTAGTTTACTTTAAATTACTTACTGACTTTTTTCTGGTAAAGAATATCAAAGCTATTGTTTTGATCCCCAGTATAGATGGTATCTTAGTTACTTTTTACTCATTGAGATAAAATACCTGATGCCCAAAATAAGGGAAGGAAAGGTTTATTTCTTA